GATTGGCTTTTGGTCAGAAAACTGGATCAACCGCTCAGTCTTCGGGTCAACCATAGGGTGGAGAAAGTGGTCTACAGAGCCGGTCATATCGTGGATCCGTTGAGTGGCAAACGCTCTCTCGGCTATGAATACTCGGAAGACGCCGACAGACAATCGCTGCTCTTTGGTCTCAAACCTCCTCTTCAGAGGACATAAACCATTGAAACACACCATAAGAATCGTATAATTAATTTAAAAGCTTTTTATTCATTAGATTTAATAATAGTATAAGAGATTTAAAAACAATGTTTTTGGCAATCATTTCAGATCTAAAAATGAGTTAATTATAAAATTTGTACAAAAATTTATATTTAATTAGAAATAAATAAAAATATCATAATTTGGTTGAGTTATCGTTAATATTGAGTTTTGGACAACAAGTGATTTGTTGAGCACTTAATCGTAAATCCGGGTTAATGTGGTCGAGAGGGTGATCAGTGTTGGCCTCCGTTTGCGGACTCTTATACAGAAACCACGAGAAGAATAGGAATATAAATGAAAGCACTTTTAGGAAAAACACAATCCCTAAGATATTTGTGGCCATCAGTTGGTTATCGTACACAAGACAAGCGCCGCTCGACTTATCACACGTTTTTTGCCATAAAATGCAACTCAAGTCAATCAATGAGCCGAATATGAGTGGAGCCGGTATTGTACCCAATATGCGAACTCCAATCCATTGGATCCCTAATGCAAACGACTTCTGACTGTCAGCAACACATCTGTTGAAGAAATCCAATAATTATATTTACAATCTGTTGTTCAAAATGACAAACATTTACCTCAAAGTTGCCGTTAAAGACGGCATTGCAATCAAAAATGCGAAGAATTCACACAAGAATATCATAAACAGAAAATATGGTAATAGATTGCACTCAGACTCGCATTTGTTTCTTTTGGCCTCAATTTTGAATGAATGTCCATTGGATTGACTCGACATGAGATTCAGATGTTGTGAGTTATTAATGAGTGGTTGGAGACAAAGACAATCGGAATAGTGTTTAGAATCGGCAGAGATTGAGACCTGACGACAGCCCGCATAACAGGCGCTGTAATACATTTGGTTGTTTAGACCGCAAACCGGATCGTAATGATAGGGAGAACACAAACAGTTTGAATTACATTCCGACTCAATGCTTAAAATATCGGATTTCTGGTTCGGGTAAGCGTTGGTCAGACCCGCAAAGTTCACGTTTGGACATGAGATTAAGAAAGCACTGCTCAGACAAATGGATATCATTGAGCAAATGATACAGAATTTGATTATTGCGGCACATTTTAAATCATATCTATTGACAATATAACCGCCGAGAAATGTTCCGCCGCCGGCGCCCGGGATTGAGACAATGCCAACCATTAGGGCCGCAGTACTCGTCGCTAAACTGAATTGTTGTTCAATTATCTTCGGTAAAAATGAGGCCAACGCTGACAAAACCATTCCTAATAAATACAAATATATTATTTTTAATTCTTGAGGTTTTATTTAAAAGTACTTTCAAAGCAAGTAAAGTATAAACGAGGCATACCTTCTGAAGCACCGGTCAGATTGAGAAACATAAAGGTTGGGTTTCGTAATAAAATCATCAGAGATTTGGGCAAATCTTTAATACTGTGACCAAAATTTTTGTTAACTACTGCATCGGTATTGGCGTGTATTGAATGCGCTTCCGATACCTTTTGGGTTCGGATTTTCTTTGTCTCTATTAAATATTGAATGTTTTATATTACAAATAAATAAAAACATAAAGTAAACACATATTATATTTAGTCAAATACCCGGCAATTCTTTAGGGAAGAGAGAAATTGGGAAGAATATAATCAATGACAGAATGAAGCCAATGATGAACACTATATACCACGCGCCCACCCATACAGGACTTGTATTGCTGAGTCCCAGTTCTTGGGGGTCAACAGCAATCCAATCAACGTAAAGCCATTTAAGCATTTGTCCCCCGAATACATAGCCCACAGCCGGCCCTACGATAGCCATTGAATAGAATATTCCTGAAAGTTGTCAACATTTGGTTTAGCGGTTTATTACAGTTTAAACGGTTTATTACAATACAAAAGCAAAGGTAAGTATTCACCCAAATATAATGAGGAAAGTTTTGTCGGCAAATTCTCGTCTAAATAAGTACATCCTTTATACAGATTTAAAGTTCATTAAACATTTTAATGCAAATCATATTTTGTAGTAATTCTCACCCAAAGTATAAAGTGGTGTCGCTTTTAAACATAAAACATATAAGAATTAGAATATCTCGCAATATATCATCGAATTGTATGATTAGTAATCATTGATTACCTCCGACTCCGTGGAGAAATTGTCCCAAAAAGAAAATCCATTTATAGTTCGATAGGTTTTGATTGACATCTTTGGAGCAAAAGGCAGGACTCGTTGAGTTATTCGCTAAACTGTTGCTACAAATGCTATCAATTTCTTCGCTGAACTCATATCTTCCGGATGTGAAATAAGGCAAAGAGAAGACCAAAGCACCGACGCCTAGATTTGCAAATTTACAAATACAGGCTTTTTATTATGCATTTGTTTGTTTTGAATAAAATGGAAAATATCAGCAAAAAATTGCTAAATTTAAAGCAAATGCAAATAATGATAACACATTTGGATTGCCGTAAATTGATCTAAACTGGAGAAGAGTATAAAATTAAGATTTTATCGATTTTATTGCACTAAAACTTAAATCATGGCAATAATGTTAAAACTCATGGATATTAAGAATAGGGATTGTATTCTCGCATATTTATTGTAAACAATTTGCAAAATATAGTGCAATATATCAATAATCATATGAACTACTTGTAGATTCTGATTGAATCTTGCAGTTAGAAATTCACAGTACATGTAATGCCGGTATTAAGCGTTAAGCGATATTTTTAATTGCAAAAATTCTTAAACAACAAAATTAATATTTTTAGCTTATAATTTCTATTCAATCTAAACTGCATTTAATTAGAAAAAATATTCCTAAGCATAAATATATATATTGTAGTTAACTCTAAATCACAACAATATAACCAAATATATAAAGATATTCTGTAATTAACGACCACTTTATATACGTTAAGAATGAAAGGATATATGAATTTATAACAAAAAGCAATTGCAATCATATAATGGCATCAATAATGTGTTGAAAGGCTAACCCATAACAAGAATTCCGGCGCTAATGAAGAGTGGTTTAGATCGGGTGCCGCCGAAGTAGGAGATGGGCGCCAACAGGAGGAAGGCTCCGACGTCGTAACCGCCAGCTATTAGACCCGATTCAGTGCTCTTCATCTGATACCTCTTCTCGATGGTTGTGATGACAACATTCACACATCCATTCACTATAAAGCCCTGAAGAGCGCCGGCCCAACTGTTGGGCCGGCGCTCTTCAGGGCTTTATAGTGAATGGATGTGTGAATGTTGTCATCACAACCATCGAGAAGAGGTATCAGATGAAGAGCACTGAATCGGGTCTAATAGCTGGCGGTTACGACGTCGGGGCCTTCCTCTTGTTGGCGCCCATCTCCTACTTCGGCGGCACCCGATCTAAACCACTCTTCATTAGCGCCGGAATTCTTGTTATGGGTTAGCCTTTCAACACATTATTGATGCCATTATATCATTGCAATTGCTTTTCGTTATAATTCATTATATCCTTATGTATATAAAGTGGTCGTTAATTACAGAATATCTTTATATATTTGGTTATATTGTTGTAATTTACAGTTAACTACAATATATATATTTATGCTTAGGAATATTTTTTCTAATTAGATGCAGTTTAAATTGAATTAAAATTATAAACTAAAAATATTAATTTTGTTGTTTAATAATTTTTACAATTAAAAATATTGCTTAAAGCTGAATACCGGCATTACATGTACTGTGCAGTTCTAACTGCAAGATTCAACCAGAATCTACAAGTAGTTCATATGATTATTGATATATTGCACTATATTTTGCAAATTATTTACAATAAATATGCTAGAATACAATCCCTATTCTTAATATCCATAAGTTCTAACATACTTACCATGATTTAAGTTTTAGTGCAATAAAATCGATAAAATCTGAATTTCATACTCTTCTCCAGTTTAGATCAATTTACAGCAATACAAGTGTGTTATCATTATTTGCATTTGCTTTAAATTTAGCCATTTTTTGCTGATATTTTACATTTTATTCAAAACAAACAAATGCCTAATAAAAAGCCTGTATTTGTAAATTTGCAAATCTAGGCGTCGGTGCTTTGGTCTTCTCTTTGCCTTATTTCACATCCGGAAGATATGAGTTCAGCGAAGAAATTGATAGCATTTGTAGCAACAGTT